TTGCTACTCCAGCTTTCTTTTGATTTCCCTTTGTATGGAATATCTTTTTCCATTCCCTCACTTTCAGTCGGTGTGTGCCCCTAAGTCTGAAGTGGGTCTCTTGTAGACAGCATATATATGGGTCTTGTTTTTGTATCGATTCAGCCAGTCTGTGTCTTTTGGTTGGAGCATTTAATCGATTTACATTTAAGGTAATTATTGATATGTATGTTCCTATTCCCATTTTCTTAATTGTTTTGGGTTTGTTATTGTAGGTCTTTTCCTTCTCTTGTGTTTCCAGCCTAGACAAGTTCCTTTAGCATTTGTTGTAAAGCTGGTTTGGTGGTGCTGAATTCTCTTTTGATTTCTCTGTCAAACCTGAATGAGATCCTTGCTGGATAGAGTAATCTTGGTTGTCGGTTTTTCCCTTTCATCACTTTAAATATGTCCTGCCACTCCCTTCTGACCTGTAGAGTTTCTGCTGAAAGATCAGCTTTTAACCTCCTGGGGATTCCCTTGTATGTTATTTGTTGCTTTTCCATTCCTGCTTTTAATATTTTTTCTTTGTGTTTAATTTTTGCTAGTTTGATTAATATGTGTCTTGGAGTGTTTCTCCTTGGGTTTATCCTGTATGGGACTCTCTGTGCTCCCTGGACTTGATTGACTATTTCCCTTACCATGTTGGGGAAGCTTTCAACTATAATCTCTTCAGATATTTTCTCAGACCTTTTCTTTTTTTCTTCTTCTTCCGGGACACCTATAATTCGAATGTTGGTGTGCTTAATGTTGTCCCAGAGGTCTCTGAGACTGGCCTCCATTATTTTCATTCTTTTTTCTTTATTCTGCTCCTCAGCAGTTATTTCCACCATTCTATCTTCCAACTCACTTATCCGTTCTTCTGCCTCAGTTATTCTGCTATTGATTCCTTCTAGAGTATTTTTAATTACAGTTATTGTGTTCATCACTGTTTGTTTGCTGTTTAGTTCTTCTAGGTCCTTGTTAAACATTCTTGTCTTTATTCTATTTCCAAGATTTTGGATCATCTTTACTATCATTACTCTGAATTCGTTTTCAGGTAGTTTGCCTATTTCCTCTTCATTTATTTGGTCTTGTGGGTTTTTATCTTGCTCTTTTGCCTGTAAGATATTTCTCTATCTTCTCATTTTGTCTAATTTACAGTATTTGAGGTCTCCTTTCACTAGGCTGCAGGGTTGTAGTTCCTCTTGCTTCTGTTCTCTGCCACTGTTGGTGGGGTTGGTCCAGTGTCTTGTGTAGGCTTCCTGATGGGAGGGACTGGTGCCTGCATTCTGGTGGTGGAGCTGGGTCTTTTCCCTCTGATGAGCAGGGCCGTGTCAGATGGTGTGTTTTGGGGTGTCTGTGAGCTTAGTATGACTTTAGGTTTTCTGTGTGCTGACGGGTGGGTTTGTGTTCCTACCTTGTTTGTTGTTTGGTGTGAGGCATCCAGCACTGGGAGCTGCTGGCAGTTGGGTGGAGCTGGGTCTTAGATTCAGATAGAGGCCTCCATGAGAGCGCTAGGTGATTAATCTTCCCTGGGGCTGGGAATTCTTTAGTGGTCCAGCATCCTCGACTCGATGCTCCCACTCTGGAGCCTCAGGCCTGACTTCTGGTCAAGGGACCAAGACCCCACAAGTCGCTCATCCCAGCGATAAAGGGGATTCAAAAAATAAAAATAAAAATACTAACAAAACCCCAGACAAATGGTAAAGAGTAAAATCGAACAAACAGAAACAAGGAAACACACAAACACACACAGAAAACAGAGCCAGATAAATCAAATAGCAAGAGACCAGACAAACCAAAGAACCCAAGAACAAAATCAAAGAATTAAGAAGAAAGCTGACAAAAACTCAAAACCAAAAAACAAAACCAAAGCAGAGTGCCAACTGAAAGATAAAGCAAAGAAACAAAACAAACTGACAAAAATGATATTTAAAAAAGAGAAAAAGAGAAAGGGGAAAGAAGACAGAACAACAGAAAAGCAATGTAGAAACAAATATAAAAAAAATAGAAAATATATTAAAGACAAAAAAGGAACAAACAAAACCAGAGCCAAATACAACAAAAAGCAAGAGAACAACCAGACAAATAGAAGAACTCAAAAATGAAATCAAACAATTAGGATTAAAACTAACAAAAACACATAACCTAAAAACAAAACCAGAGCGTGTGCCATGCCAGCCAACTGAAGAATAAAGCAAGGAAACAGAACAAACCTATAAAAGTGATTTTTAAAAAATAATAATAAAATAAAAAGGGAAAAAAGCAGGACAACAGAAAAGCAAAGTAGAAATAGAAATATATTAAAAAGTAAAAATATGTTATAAAACACAGAGATCCCAAAAGACTAAAAAAAAGAAACAACAACAAACAAAAACAGAAAAAGAAACCAAAAAATAATCTAAACCAACAACAGAAGGAATCAAAACATAGTAAAATTAATAGTAATAATTATGTTTCCCTGGGTTCTCCACGGTAATTGTCCTTGCACACGCTGTGAACCACAGCCCAAGAGGCTCTCCTCTGCCTCTGGGCTGGTCTCTGGACCTGCTGTGGGCCCTGTGGGTACCACTCTGACTCTGATCTGGCCCAATTCCTGTGTGCACTTGCCCCCAAATTCCACAGCTGCCACAGCTAGACCATTTTCATTTGTGGGAACACTCACTGTCTACTCAGATATTCCATAGATGCAGGGTCTACCTAGCTGATTGCAGGGATTTAATCTGCAGCTTGTACAGCTAATGGAAAGATTTTCAGTCTTCTTCCTTAGTCCCCCCATCCCTGAGTTTCAGCTTTGGTTTTATCCCCATCTCTACGTGTGGTCCACCCACAGGTGTCTGGTCCTGAGGCTGCCTTGGAGCTCTTGGGTCAGCCCTGGGAGGACCAGGCACAGAGGTGGTATGACTGCTTGGATCACAGGAGCCCTGGTGGCACCAAATGTGCAGAGAAGCCAGCAGCTACAGGCAAAAGAGATATGGCCTTAGTGAGGGCCTTTTCTGGCACCCAGCGTAATATGTATGAGGGCCATCCCTGGCCGGGGTTTTTCTGGCACCCGGCAGCAGGTGTGTGAGGGCCAGCCCTGAGAGGGCTTTTATTTTTATTACCCTGCAGCCAGTGCGTGAGGGCCAGCTCTAAGGGGGCTTTTTTTATTGCTCAGCAGCCAGTGCACAGGAGCCATCCCTGAGCAGGCTTCTTTTATTGTCATTGTCAGGCGCTGGCATGTGGGAAGAGGCTACAATAGTGGCTCCTCCACTTACGTGTGACTCAGCAATAGTGCCCTGCTTCCATGGTAGTCTGGTTTTCCTCCATAGGCATTCACTGCTGTGGATTTTCTCCTTCCTGTCTCCTCAGTCCGTCTCTGCACAGCCAACAGCAGTTCTCGCTCTGGGCCTGTTCTCCAATCCCCACGCACCAACTCCCAGCCCCCTTGCACACCTGTGAACACATGTCCCAGTCTGGGGTACGTAGGGCTGTGGTATGGACCATCTGTATTTCTTACTCTGTCCTGTCTGCCACAGATCGGCTGTGTCACCCTCTTCTGACAGCCTCAAATGCTTCCCTTCTGTCCAAATTGATTTCCCCGTCAGAGAGGGGGTTTCCTCAAATTCAGGAATCTCTCTGCTTCAGCTCCCCAACCCCAGGGTGCTCTTCCCATCCCACCTCCTCTCTTCTTTTTTCTGTCCTACCCAGTTATGGAAGGGATCTGTATAGTCCTTTCGTCCAAGGTCTTCTGCTAGTTTTCAGCTGATGTTCCATGAGAATTGTTGCATCTATAGATGTAGTCCTGCTGCACCCATGGAGAGAGTTGAACTCCACATCCATCTACTCCACCACCATCTTGACTCTCCTCTCCTAATGTTCTTAACCTCAAAAAGTTGCAGTATCCAAAGGGCTCATTTCTTGGACCTCTTTTCTGATGTTCTGGAAGACTTCATATGGTCTCATAGTTTTAAATGCCATATATAGGCTAGGAGCATAAAATTTATAAACCAGCACAGGCTACTCCTGTGCTGAACTCTAGATTCACATTTCTAACTGCTTACTCAATATTTGTATTCAGATGTCTAGTTAGCAATTCAAATATAGCACATCCAAAACTTAACACTTTGTTTGCCTTCTCCCAAACATGGTTCTACACTTTCCCCTATCTCAGTAAATGTCAACTCCACTCTTCTAGTTTCTCAAGTTAAAGAGTCTCACTCACACAACATATTGAGTCCCTTTAGGAAATCTTGTCCATTCTACCTTAAGAAGTTATCCAGAATCCAGTACCTTTTCACCACCTCCACTGCTACTGCCCTAATAAAAGCCATCAGCATCTCCCTCCTGGGGTACTGCAATAGCTTCGTAACTGCTCTCCCTACTTCCATGCTTGTTTCCCTATACTCTCTTCTCCCCATAGCCAAGAGTAATCTTTTAAAAAACATAACATCATGTCACTCCTCTGCTCAAAACTGTCCAGAGACTTCTCATCTCTTAGAATAAGGAGAAAAACTTTGCCATGGCCCTATGTGGCCTGACCTTCCATTGTTTTCTGATCATGCCTCCTACCACTCTCATTATACCCACCATCAGCATATCTTGCCAACTCTGTTCTAGCCATATTGGCCATTTTATGGCTCCTCAGACATGCCTAAGTTCTATTACACTTGCTGCCTGCTCTTCCTGAAAGGCATTTCCCTCAGATATCTACAGGGCTCACACCTTCACCTCCTTCAGTTCTTTGCTCAAATATAGAAGGCTTTCCCTGGCCACCCTATTTAAAACTGCAAATCACCCAAGCACTCCATATGCCCCTCCTTCCTGATTTATTTAATATTTTTTTGCATAGCACTTACCACCTTCTGGTATGTCATTTAGTTTATTGTCTCTCTCACCCAACTTGAATGTTAGGTCCATGTTGGCAGACATTTTTATCTGTTTTGTTCGCTGATGTGTGCCCCATATCAACAGGAAATTTGTAAAATGAATGACTAATATTTTTCATTTTAATACTTTATCAGGTGCTACACAGTTTATGGCTGACCCCAAGCTCATGGATCATGGGCAGTCCCATCCAGAAGATGTAGATATGTACAGCACTAGAAGCTGAAATAGAACTACAAGATGTGTGAAGTTGTGAATAACAATGAAAAAAATCATGTAATGGGTAACTGTGATGCATGGAGTATAATTTAAACCAAGTTTTTCCTTTACATCTTCTAATGTACAGTTAGACAAATCACATAAGTGATTAAAACTCAAATTGAATACAATCCGAACAATACTAAATGATTGATGAGGAGGCAGAGGTAAAAGTATTAGGATGCATTTGGTGATTTTTAAGGGTATTTATAAAAAAATAAAAGTAAATATATGAACACTGATGAGACTAAAATCTGAAAAAATATGTATGTGTGTATATAATTATGTATATATATGCACATATATATTTGTTTAACTTTTATGAATTAATGTCAGCTAAATTAGAATTGTGTGTGTAAGGATGTGTTCCCTCCCCCTCTGTTTTTCATTTCCCAGAGCTGGAATAAAATATCCATATTTTATGACACTTGGACTTGGCTTTGTCTCTGTTTTATTAATGTTAACTCCTCTTAAATGTCCCAAAATACCTCTAACTATTTGAGAGGAACATATGCTACATGGGACCCCCGATGCTGCTTAGCATTCCTTCTACTGGTTCCTGGGTGGTTTCCTATTCTGTTTTCCAGGAGAGGCATTACAGACCTTTTATTCTCAAACCTCCTATACCTGCCAATGATGACTGTCTCCTATTACATAGAGAAAAAAATAAGTTATTACACATAGTTTTTCCCAACTTCTTCACATCTACCTTCAAGACTTACCTCTTTTCAGCCATGCATCCCCCTTTTCTAAAGCTAATGCTTCTATTTGTGTTCCTGATCTCCTCCTTTCCTATCTTTTCCAGTACCATATTCCATCCCATTTAATCTTCAGTCTTTGGTTTCTCTTTTCATTCATTTTGTTTTCTCAATCTCTTAAATAGCTTCAGATCTTCTTTATCCAAAGACAACAGTAACAAAAACCTTTCCCCAACTCTACCTCTTCCTCTTGAGCTATCTTTTCTTTCTCTTTCCTATGATTTTCAGACTTCATAAAACAGTAATTAATGTCACTTTCTTATTTCCTCACTTTCAATTCCTCTCTAAGTAGTGACACCTTGGCCTCTATACCTACTTGAATATTCTGTAATGTTTGACTCTTGACCACTCCCTCCTAAAATTCAGTCCTCCCTTTGGTGTCATTGCTGCTCCTCTTGTTATTCTTCATTCTTCTCTTGCTCTGAATCCCTTAAATGCTGAGGCTCCTCAGGTTGCATTTCTAGTCTTTTCTCATTCTGTGCTCTCTCATTTCCATTCAACATACTTTACTGACTTCGGCTACCATTTATATGTCATTATTATTTATATTTCCAGCTCCTGTATTTCTCCAGAAGTGTATAGCTATCTTTCTAATTATTTGTTAGTCATATCCACCTTATATCCCATAGATATCCTCAATGTCAATAGACTTAAAACTAAATTGTCTCTACATCGCTCTCATTTCTGTGTTTCTCAAATCTTTTCTACCTTCTCTAATCCTTGCTCTCATTCAAGTCTTCTTCATCACTTTCCTGGATTATTACAGTAGCCTCTGGTTAATCTGCCTGATATCAATCTTGCTTTTTGTCACTTAACAATGCATTCTCCTTATAGGTAACAGTAAACCAGTTAACTGTAGCTTAAATAAGTGAGAGTCTATTTAAAGTCTGGGAATTGGTCAGTACAGGGTTGGTATAGTGGCTCATTGGTATCATCAAGGATCTAGACATATTCTCTTTCTACTCTGCTCTTTAGCATGTTGATTTGTCACCTCATGATCACAAAATGGCTCCTATACCTCTGGGGAACACATACACACTCAGAGTAGGAAGAAGGGTTACAGAAACTGTACCAGATGCTTCTGATCCCCTTTTATCAGAGAAGTAAGTGCTTTCTCAAAAGACTTATGTCTATATCTTGACCAGAATTTGTCATGTAAGCCACATTTAGCTCAAGGAAGATTGGCAAGTCACATTTTTGTCTATGGAGAGAAAGGCAAGGGGTAAGGGATTTGGAATGGGTGTTGAGTTTAAGCTAACACACAGTGTCTGCCACCTTTTTCTTCTAACCCATCTGTCATATTATTATGACATAGTTATGTTTCTAACAACTGTTATGGGTAGTTGTGTTCCTGAAGTCCTCAGTGGCTAATCATTGCCTACAGAATCAAATCAAGACCCCTTAGTATGACATACAAAGCCCTTCATATATGATCCCAACTAAACTTTAATCCTTCCTTCCTTCTCCCCACCCACCGTACTGCCAATGTATATTTTATCTATAACTTACCACTTGCTTCTTGAACATGCTTTGCTATTTTATGTCTCTTTTTCTCTGCCTATGTTGGTGTTTCCTCTTAGGATTTTTTCTGTCTCATCCTGCTTCATTCCAACTTCCTACTCATCCTTCAAACCCATCCTTTCTCAGTTCTCCAAGGTAGGATTTAGATGCTCTCTCCTGTACATTCCCTTACATTTGGTATTTATAGCTGTGATAGCGCATACATTTTATTATAAAACTAAAACTAGGTTAGTATTTTTTCACTTACAAGGCTCCTTGTGGATATGACTGAATCATATTTGTGTAGCTTTTATGCCCATGAATACCTGGTATGTAGTAGAAACTCACATGTTCTACCATGCTAGTTGTAACACAGAATTATAATTATTTTTGCACCCTATCAAAAGGCTTACATTCTACTAGAAAGGATAGAAACATACACAAATACAGTGTTCTATGTAGTATCTTCCCTAAGATATGTACTACAAAAGAACTATGGATGCTCAGAGATGGAGCGTAGTTCTGAGATGAAGTTAAGGAGGCAGTGGTCCTTGATCTGCTCAAGGTGGGGAAGCAGTTCACTTGCTAGTTTTTTATAGGTAAGCTTTATAAAATTAAGCTTCAGTATTTTAAATAAATTTTTTTACCTCAGATCTGTTTATAAACAAATGCACCGATATTTCATCAAATCCAAGAAAAAAGTGCTGCCAGGTCACCTTATCTTTGATAAAGGAGGCAAGAATATACATTGGAGAAAAGACAGCTTCTTCAATAAGTGGTGCTGGGAAAACTGGACAGGTAAATGTAAAAGTATGAAATTAGAACACTCTCTGACACCATACAAAACAATAAACTCAAAATGGATTAAAGATCTAAATGTAAGGCTAGACACTATCAAACTCTTAGAGGAAAACATAGGCAGAACACTCTGTGACATAAATCACAGCAAGATCCTTTTTTTTTTTTTTTTTTTTGCAGTACGCGGGCCTCTCACTGTTGTGACCTCTCCCGTTGCAGAGCACAGGCTCCGGACACGCAGGCTCAGGGGCCATGGCTCACGGGCCTAGCCGCTCTGTGGCATGTGGGATCTTCCCGGACCAGGGCACAAACCTCTGTCCGCTGCATTGGCAGGTGGACTCTCAACCACTGCGCCATCAGGGAAGCCCTTTTTGACACACCTCCTAGAGAAATGGAAATAAAAACAAAAATAAACAAATGGGACCTAATGAAACTTCAAAGCTTTTGCACAGCAAAGGAAACCATAAACAAGACAAAAAGACAACCCTCAAAATGGGAGAAAATATTTGCAAATGAAGCAACTGACAAAGGATTAATCTCCAAAACATACAAGCAACTCATGCAGCTCAATATCAAAAAACCAAACAACCCAATCCAAAAATGGGCAGAAGACCTAAATAGACATTTCTCCAAAGAAGATATACAGATTGCCAAATAAACACATGAGAGAATGCTCAACATCATTAATCATTAGAGAAATGCAAATCAAAACTACAATGAGATATCATCTCACACCGGTCAGAATGGCCATCATCAAAAAATCTAGAAAAAAATGCTGGAGAGGGTGTAGAGAAAAGGGAACCCTCTTGCACTGTTGGTGGGAATGTAAATTGGTACAGCCACTATGGAGAACAGTATGAACGTTCTTTAAGAAACTAAAACTGGAACTACCATATGACCCAGCAATCCCACTACTGGGCATATACCCTGAGAAAACCATAATTCAAAAAGTCATGTACCAAAATGTTCATTGCAGCTCTATTTACAATAGCCAGGACATGGAAGCAACCTAAGTGTCCATCAACAGATGAATGGATAAAGAAGATGTGGCACATATATACAACGGAATATTACTCAGCCATAAAACGAAACGAAATTGAGTTATTTGTAGTGAGGTGGATGGACCTAGAGTCTGTCATACAGAGTGAAGTAAATCAGAAAGAGAAAAACAAATACTGTATGCTAACACATATATATGGAACCTAAGAAAAAAAAAGTTCATGAAGAACTGAGGGGCAAGACAGTAATAAAGACACAGACCTACTAGAGCATGGACTTGAGGATATGGGGAGGGGGAAGGGTAAGCTGTGACAAAGTGAGAGAGTGGCATGGACATATATACACTACCAAACATAAAATAGATAGCTAGTGGGAAGCAGCCACATAGCACAGGGAGATCAGCTCGGTGCTTTGTGACCACCTAGAGGGGTGGGGTAGGGAGGGTGGGAGGGAGGGAGATGCAAGAGGGAAGAGATATGGGAACATATGTATATGTATAACTGATTCACTTTGTTATAAAGCAGAAACTAACACACATTGTAAAGCAGTTATACTCCAATAAAGATGTTAAAAAATAAAACATGCTGCCAGTTAATGATAATACCCTGATTTCAGGTCTGTTAGTGTGTAAAAATATAAGCATTTGAAATATAATAAGATATGGAGGATAAAAAATAAATATCCTAAAGCCAAGTGTAAGTTACTTTTGAATTATCTGCTATTTTGGATCATTAGCTCTGCTACTAGCCATTAGTATATTAGTTTGGATAATGGAAAGTTGACTGGTAAAATCTCCTTCAGAGTAAAAGATCTGCTGAAACGAGAGTTTGTTCACTTGTATTGTACAACACTCAAAATCAAACTGCTGTTGGACTCAGGCGACATTTAAATATTGGAGCCTGTACTGGGACAATTTGTGATGAGTCATCTTTAACTCTTCCCCTGCCGTGTCCATTAGTTCTTCTCTGTTAAACCTGAACAGATGCCTGCCCTCCTCGGAGGAAAGGTCTAAAGCCCCTCGACTAGTATAGTAGTCAGTAGAAGCCTGGTTCCAAATGACAACCAGAAACTTCATGCAGTTACACTGGCTTCTGACGGCTATCTGTTTAAAAACAAATGGATATTACTGTTACTTGAAAGTATAATCTTCATTAGTACATTTATTTTATTAAAGGTCTGTATGCAAGGCACTGTGTGTGTGTAAAATACTCCCAAAAAATAATACAATAGTTATCTCTTGGACTTCTCTAAATCTGTAAAAAGAAAAAAATTCCCATCAAGTTTTAAAATACTTTCTTTAGAAGTCCAAAACACATTTGCAAAGTCTACTCATTGGTTTTATATAAATCTACTTCACTATTTTTTTCTTTATTCTATAGAAAAAGTTTACCTAAAATTCTCATGTGTATTTCCAAAATATAAAAGAATCTTTTTATACTGTTCTCATATTCATACTGTAGACCTATTTTATGGGTAAAATTGCCTTCTGATCTCCCTTTTGCTTACTTCTGCTTTGTAGCACAGAGGCATATAATGTGGTTGTGTGTTATATAGAACACAACTCTTAATTAAACATAACTCAATTATGACCTGTATGAATATCTGATTTGAAGATCCAGTGTAATTAGAATTAAAAAATTAAGCATATTTTGAGATTATGTTCAGATGTTAAGATAAATTATCTAATTTATGCCATGTTAAGTAATAACATTTGATGAAGAAAAGGATAGCATATAGAATAAGAATACTAACTGTAATATATACCTGACCTAGCCTCTTCAGCATTTCAGCTCCAATACCTAGACCTTTTAAATAGATAATGCAAAATGAAAAAAACATAAGTTGAAAAACTCCATTTAAAAAGTTATTTGCTTTACTTTAAACCCTGTATCTGGTTGTTACATATTAGTAATAGCTTGTGTTGAAATTCAACTCATGAATGTTTTTCATATCTCTTTTTCCTAATTGGCATGTGGTTCCAAAGGTAATGGAAAAGATTTTGGATTTACTTTAAAGATCAGTGAAGAGGAAATGTGTCCCTATCACTATCATCTTATCACAGAATATATTTCTCATTCATTTTAGACAAACCAACACAAAATGTAAAAGCACGTTTTAAACATGAAAGTATAGCTTTCATAACTTGGCTTATTCAAGCCTTGATGGGAACTAATAAATCTTTTTCTAATCTGTGATTGAGTCTTCACCATAAGCAAGGATAACTAGGATAGTGATCAGGCTTATGAAATAGAAATGAGTTACATAAACTAACTTAAACACATTTATACTAACTCTCCTTAAATTAAAATATACCATTTTAATTTTTAAAGTATAAGTAATACTATAACTGTTACTTGACCTCAGTAAGCTTGTATGACATAAAAGTCCTCTAGGTAAAGTAACTTGCCAATCCAGGGGTCATATGTAAAGTAGTACATGGCAAATCCAACAGTCACTTTGCCTAGGAAGAGGAAAGAGAGGGTATAAAGAGGTTAATGCTTTGAATCTTGTAATGTTCTTTCCTCCAAAATAACTATTAAAGTAATAAAAGCTTGCTGGACAAAATTTCAAGCAATACAGAAATGTATAAGGTAGAAGGTTTAAGTCCTTTATAATACAACCTTTAAGAGATAACCCATCTTTTAACAGTGTGGAGTATATTCTTCCTAAATTTTTTTTCTATGCATTTACAAACATAAGTACATACCATACATTTTCTCTTAAAAACAAGACTCAGTTTATGTACTTATGCTCTTCTCCTCTGCTTAATAGTAATTATATGCTATCAAACTGTACTTTGTTTTCAGGATAGAGAAAATATACTCTAGATTAAATTGAAAAAGGAAGGTTTATTTTACCTAATGGTTTTTGATGATTGTGTACTTCTGCAATCAAGCAGTAGAAAAGGGGATGGTCCCCAAAGCCACCCCTGAGTACATCTGAAATATCAATTCACATAAAATATGTTAGAAAATTTACAGTAGAGAAAAGGAAGATGGTGGAGTTGGCAGCACCAGAATTCCTTTCTTCACCTATACAACAACTGTACTGGCATAAACTGCCTGAAGTGAATATTTTGGAACAGTAGAGTTTATTTGAATACTTACAACTTCCAGAGGACAGCTTGACTGGTAAATTGCAGTTAATTTTGGCAAAATTCAGCCATCAGCCCAGTGGTGGTTTCCAAGCACACACACCCCAACTCCATCATGTCCTACCTCATCTCACGGCAGGCAGTTGTAGGGACTGCTGAGACTCCTGAATTGCTGGAGTGGATTGCTACTCTCAATGCTGAGGTGAGGACCTAGAGGTTGGCCGCTATTTTTCTAACCTCCACCAACTAAAGCAGCTTCTAGGAGATTTAAAGGAGCCACACCAGTTTTGTTAGACATTCAAAAACAACCATGTATACAGGAGAATCTAGAAAGCCACCATGTATGATCAGGGAAAGACACAGACTTAGAAAAGACCTTAAAATACCTTTAAACATTTAACTCAGATTGATCTCTGACACAGGCACCCTATAACAATAAAAAAACAGCCAACCCTGGGGAAGCAAGAGAATTTGATTTCAAGAGTTGACACATTATAAAATTAAAATGTCCAGTTTTCAACAACAAAAAATCACAGTGCATACAAAGAAAATGGAAAGTATAGCCCATTCAAAGGAACCAAGTAAATTAACAGAAAACATACCTGAGGAACCCCAGATGTCAGACTTACTAAACAAAGACTTAAAGGTGCTAAAAGAGCTAAAGGGTGACATGCACAAAGACAAGAAAAAGATGTATAAACAAAATAGGAATATCAATAAATAGAAATTATTAAAAAAAGAATTCCCATCAAAAAACTCTGAAGCTGAAAAGTATAATATATGAGAAGTGCACTCTAGGGATTCAAAATCAGAATTTCTAAGCAAGCAGAAGAAAGAATGAGTTAACTTGAAGATAGGACAACTGAAATTATCAAGTCTGAGGAACAAAATAGATGAAGAAAAGCAAAGAGCCTAAGGTATCTGTGGAACACCATCAAATGGACCAAGATACATATTATGGGACTCTCAGAAGAAGAGAGAGAAAGGAAAAAATATTTGAATAACAACTGAAAACTTCCCAGATTTGATGAAATACATCAATCTACAAATCCAAGTTCAACAAACTCCAAGTGGTATAAACCCCAAAAAGTCAACACCAAGACACGTAATCAGGCTGTTGAAAGACAAAGAGAAAATCTTGAAAGCAGCAAGGCAGAAGTAACTTGTCACATACAATGGATCTTCAATGGGATTATCATCTGCTTTCTCATCAGAAACCTTGGAAGCCAGAAGGCAGTGGATTGATATACTCAAAGTACTGGGGACAGGGAAGGAGGGGAGAAGTGCAGAAACTTGTCAACCAAGAATTCTATATCCACCAAAACTGTCCTTCAAAAATGAAGGAGAGGGGGCTTCCCTGGTGGCGCAGTGGTTGAGAGTCCGCCTGTTGATGCAGGGGACATGGGTTCATGCCCCGGTCCGGGAGGATCCCACATGCCACAGAACAGCTGGGCCCGTGAGCCATGGCCATTGAGCCTGCACGTCCGGAGCCTGTGCTCCACAACGGGAGAGGCCACAATAGTGAGAGGCCCACATACTGCAAAAAAAAAAGAGAAATTAAGGTATCCCCAGACTCATCCCCCCTAAACAAAGAACCTGAGGAAGTTTGTTATCTCTAGACCTGCCCTGCATAAAATGCTAAAAGGAGTCCTTCAGGTTGAAGGAAACTAGGTAGTAACTCAAAGCCATATGAAGAAATAAAGATAAAGGTAATGGTGCCTAGTTAAAGGTAAATACATGGGGAATTATAAAGAACTAGTGTTATTTTAAATTTGTTTGTAGTTCTTTTTATTTTCTACATGATTTAAAAGACAAGTGCATAAAATTAGTCATTAGTGTGTGTTCTTGGGCACACAATGTATAAAGATGTAATCTGTGACATCAATAACATAAAAGGGGAATTGACATGTACAGGAGAAGAGTTTTTGTATGCTATTGAAATCAAGCTAGTATAAATTCAAATTTTATTGTTATAACTTTAAGATGTTAAATGTAATCCCCACAATAACAACAAAGAAAATGTCTATAGAATATATACATAAGGAAATGAGAAGGGAATCAAAACATTTTACTACAAAAATCAACTAAATACAAACGAAGGTAGCAATGTTGGAAGTGAAGGACAAAAAACTATATAGAAAACAAATAGGAAAATGTCAGAAGTCCCTCCTTATCAGTAATTACTTTAAATGTAAATGGATTAAATGCTCTAATCAAAAGAGATTAGCAGAATGAACTTCTAAAAATGATCCAACTATATGCTGTCTGTAAGACACTTACTTTAGATTAAAAAAAAAAAAGGTTGATAGTGAAATGATGGAAAAAGACATTTCATGAAAATAGTAATCAAAAGAAAGCTGGGATGGATGTACTAATATAAGACAAAATAGACTTTAAGTAAAAAACTCTTACTGAAGAGAAGGATATTATATAGTGATAGAAGGTTCAGTTTACCAAGAAGATATAACATTTATAAACATTTATGCACCAAACATCAGAGCTCCAAAATATATGAAGCAAATATTGACAGAATTGAAGATAGAAAGAGCTCTAAAATAATATTCGAAAACTTCATTACATCAATTTCAGTAATGTACTTAACAAACAGACCAATGATAAATATGTTAATAGATTATTTGAACAAAACTATAGATCAATTGGACCTAACAGAAATATACAGTGCATCCCACCCAACAACATAATACACAATTTTTCTTGAACTTTCTCTAGGATATATCATATGTTAGGCCAAAAAGCAAGTCTTAATACATTTTGAAAGATTGAAACCATACAAAGTACCTTCTCCAATCACAATGGATTGAAACTAGAAACTGATAGATGGAAACTAGGGAATTCACAAATATGTGGAAATTAAACAATGCACTCAAACAACTTTGGCTCAAAGTAGAAATAACAAGAGAAATTAGAAAACAGAGATAAATGAGAATGAAAGCAATATAAAAAACTTATGGGATTCAGTGAAAGAAGTGCTCAGAAGGGAGCTTATAGTTGTAAATTCCAACATTAAAAAAGGAAGGGAGGGAGGGAGGGAAAGAAAGAAAGGAAAGAAGGAAGGAAAGAAGGAAGTAGAAGGGAGGGAGGGAGGAAAGGAAGGAAGGAAAGGAAAGGAAAGGAAGAAATAAAGGAAAGAAAAAGGAAGGAAGGAAGAAAGAAAGAAAGAAAGAAAGAAAGAAAGAAAGAAAGAAAGAAAGAAAGAAAGAAGGGAAGAAAGGGAAGGAAGGGAGGGAGGGAGGAAGAAAGATCTCAAGTCGTGACCTAATCTTACACATTAGAAACTAGAAAAAGGAGTAAACTAAGCTCAAATCTAGCAGAAAAAAAGGCAAATAAATATCTCTTATCAATACAGATGCAAAAATACTCAACAAAATAGCAAATTGAACTCAACAGCATATTAAAAGGATCATTCACTATGACCGTGTGATTGATCCTAGGAACGAAAGGATGGTTCAACATAAGGAAATCAATCAAAGGGGGAAAAAAACACAAGACCATCTCAATTGGTGTAGAAAAGGCAATTGACAAAATCCAACACCCTTTTATGATGAAAGCCCTTAGAAAACTAGGAATAGAGGGAAATCCCTAACATGATAATGGGTACCTTTTTTTAAAAAAAGTTAACTTTAATGGTGAGTGACTGAAAGCATTCCCCCTAAGATTAGGAACAAGACAAGGATGCCCACTCTCACCACTGCTGTTCAACATTGTACTGGAAGTTAGACAATTAGACAAGAAAAAGAAATAAAAGCCATCCAAATTACAAAGGAAGAAGTAAAATTATCTCTATTTGCAGATGACATGATCCTACTGATTGACAATCCCAAAGAATCCAAAGAAAGCTACTAACACTAATAAATTAATTCATTAAAGTTGCAGGCTACAAGATCAACCAAAAAAATCAGTTTTATTTCTATACACCAGCAAAGAATAAACCAAAAAGTAAATTTAAAAAGCAATTTCATTTACAATCTCCTCTAAAATAATTAAATACCTAGGAAAGAATCTACGCAAGGAGGTGAAATACTTGCATACTAAAAACTATAAAACATTGCTGAAAGAAGTTAAAGACCTAAATAAATTAAAAGATATCCCGTGTTCATAGATAAGACTTAACATTGTTAAGATGTCAATAGTACCCAAAGTGATCTAAAGATTCAATGTCGTCCTTATCAAAATTCTAACATCCTTTTTTACAGGAGTGGTAAAGCTGATCCTCAAATTCATTTAGAATTCCAAGTGTATAATTTTATACAGACTTTTCTTGACCTACAATAGGGTTACATCCTGATAAACCCATCATAAGGTGAAAATGTCATAAAAGTCGAAAATGCATTTAATACACCTAACCTATCAAACATCATAGCTTAGCCTGACCTACCTTAAACCTGCTCAGAGCACTTGCATTAGCCTAGAGTTGGGCAAAATCATCTAACACAAAGCCCATTTTATAATAAAGTGTCAAATATCTCATGTAATTTATTGAATACTAAGTGAAAATAGAATGGTTGTATGGGTACAGAATGGTTGTAAGTGTATCAGTTATTTACCCTCATGATCACATGGCTGACTAGGAGCTGTGGCTCACTGCTGCTGCCCAGCATCATAAGAGAGTATCCTATTGCATATAGCTAGCCCAGGAAAAAGACAAAATTCAAAATTTGAGGTACAGTTTCTACTGAATGCGTATTGCTTTATAAAGTTGAAAAATTGTTCAACGTCATACCGTAAGTAAGTCAGGGACTGTCTGTACACTTTAATCATCTCTTCTCTCAGTGTTCACGTTTCCTGCCTAAAATGTTGCAATTCATCATAAAACACTAGCATTGGCTATTAATATTGCTGGCTCTCAAAATGTAGTAAATATCTTGAAAATAATTTTAAGTCATTTTGCTTTTATCCATTTCATCCTATCAAGCTACTACTAACATTGGGCATTAAATTATATTGTCTTTGACAACTACACTTCTCATTTTACATTTCCAAAATTAGTTGAAATTTATTGACACTGTAAAGATGTAAAAGCTCTTAACTATCAATTTCATACTTTAAAAATGAGGAAAATATAAAATAGTGGTGCACTGACAAAGCTATTAAACAATAGCTTTTTATACAAACTTTTGCCCTGTATATCTAAATACTATTAATGACAACTTCTTTGTGTACCAAGGACAACAGTGTCCACATATCTAGGTACAAGTAGTGCTTTGTGCACACATTATGCCATGCTTCTTTTTCTAGCTCTGAAAATACCATAAAACATCTTACCCTTTGCTGTTAACTTCATTGCATCTAGCATGTTTTCACAGGCAGCCAATTCCTGTCAAAGTAGAGAAAACATTCAGTTTATGGTTTAGTAACAAAATTTTTTTAATTACTTTTCAAATTACTTTTTTAAATTTTTTGGCTGTACTGAGCACCTAGTGAGATCTTAGTTCCCTGACCAGGGATTGAAACTGGCCCACAGCAGTGAAAGTGCCAAGTCCTAACCAGTGGACCGCCAGAGAATTCCTAGTAACAAATTCTAAAGATGATAGGCATTAAGATTTTATTGAGTATTTATTAACATACGACGTCCTGGGTAGTATTAAAAGTGAGTCAGACTTAACTCCAGTCATCTAGAAACTTAAAATCCAAAACAGCATATGCAACAAGACAATATATAGAGAGATGATTAACTATGTCGATACATCATTCCTGTGAAGGTCAACTGTCTAGGTAACTAGCCTTGGATACAACCAGAAATCAGGAAGTAAAGCCAAAAGTTTTTCTGAGCATTCAAGGTAGATATCACAAAGTCTATGAATTATAAAGCTCATAGACTTTACGGAGAAGTCTGTTGTGATTGCTTGTGAGGTGTTCTTCCCAATTTAACTTTAGACTTTGTTTATTTGGTTTTTAAAATAATTCTACACATTCAAGTCAATTCCTCATAGTTTGGATCTCAAGCTTGGAAGGGAAATCCCCACTTTTGGATTATAAAAATAGTCACTTCTGTTCCCTTCTTAATTTTTGTTTATTTTTTCCAGTTTTATTAAGATATAACTGACATATAACATTGTATTAGTCCAAGGTGGGCAATGTAATGAATTGATGTATGTATATGTTGTGAAATGATTACCACGATAAGGTTAGTTAACATCAATAATCTCACATAGTTACAATTTATTTCTTGTGATGAGAACTTTTAAGATGTACTCTCTTAATACCTTTTAGATATACACTATGGTTTTGTTAACTATAGTCACCATACTGTACATGACATCCCCAGAGCTTATTTACCTGGAAACCTTTAACTTTTAACTACCATCACCCATTGCCCCCACCCCTACCTCCCCCCTCTAACAACCACCAATCAGGTTTTTTTTTTTACATCTTTATTGGAGTATAATTGCTTTACAATGGAGAGTTAGTTTCTGCTTTATAACAAAGCGAATCAGTTATACATATACATATGTTCCCATATCTCTTCCCTCTTGCATCTCCCTCCCTCCCACCCTCCCTACCCCACCCCTCTAGGTGGTCACAAAGCACCGAGCTGATCTCCCTGTGCTATGCGGCTGTTTCCCACTAGCTATCTATTTTATGTTTGGTAGTGTATATATGTCCATGCCTCTCTCTCGCTTTCTCACAGCTTACCCTTCCCCCTCCCCATATCCTCAAGTCCATTCTCTAGTAGGTCTGTGTCTTTATTCCTGTCTTACCCCTAGGTTCTTCATATTTTTTTTTCTTAAATTCCATATATATGTGTTAGCATACGGTATTTCTCTTTCACTTTCTGACTTACTTCACTCTGTATGACAGACTCTAGGTCTATCCACCTCATTAAAAATAGCTCAATTTCGTTTCTTTTTATGGCTGAGTAATATTCCATTGTATATATGTGCCACATCTTCTTTATCCATTCATCCTATGATGGACACTTAGGTTGTTTCCATATCCGGGCTATTGTAAATAGAGCTGAAATGAACATTTTGGTACATGACTCCCTTTGAATTATGGTTTTCTTAGGGTATATGCCCAGTAGTCAGATTGCTGGGTCATATGGTACTTGTATTTGTAGTTTTCTAAGGAACCTCTATACTGTTCTCCATAGTGGCTGAACCAATTCACATTCCGACCAGCAGTGAAAGAGTGTTCCCTTTTCTCCACAACCTCTCCAGCATTTATTATTTCTAGATTTTTTGATGATGGCCATTCTGACTGGTGTGAGATGATATCACATTGTAGTTTTGATTTGCATTTCTCTAATGATTAAGGATGTTGAGCATTCTTTCATGTGTTTGTTGGCAGTCTTTATATCTTATTTGGAGAAATGTCTATTTACGTCTTCTGCACATTTTTGAATTCGGTTGTTTGTTTTTTTGTTATTGAGCTGCATGAGTTGCTTATAAATTTTGGAGATTAATCCTTTGTCAGTTGCTTCATTTGCAAATATTTTCTCCCATTCTGAGGGTTGTCTTTTGGTCTTGTTTATAGTTTCCTATGCTGTGCAAAAGCTTTGAAGTTTCATTAGGTCCCATTTGTTTATTTTTGTTTTTATTTCCATTTCTCTAAGAGGTGGGTCAAAAAGGATCTTGCTGTGATTTATGTCATGGAGTGTTCTGCCTATGCTTTCCTCTAAGAGCTGGATGGTTTCTGGCCTTACATGTAGGTCTTTAATCCACTTTGAGCTTATTTTTGTGTATGGTGCTAGGGAGTGTTCTAATCTCATACTTTTACATGTACCTGTCCAGTTTTCCCAGCACCACTTATTGAAGAAGCTGTCCTTTCTGCACTGTACCTTCCTGCCTCCTTTATCAAAGATAAGGTGACCATATGTGCATGGGTTTACCTCTGGGCTTTCTATCCTGTTCCATTGATCTATCTTTCTGTGTTTGTGCCAGTACCATACTGTCTTGATTACTGTAGCTTTGTAGTATAGTATGAAGACAGGGATCCTGATTCCTCCAGCTCCGTTTTTCGTTGTAAAGATTGCTTGGCTATTCGGGGTCTTTTGTGTTTCCATACAAATTGTGAAATTTTTTGTGCTAATTCTGTGAAAAATGCCAGTGGTAGTTTCATAGGGATTGCATTGAATGTGTAGATTGCTTTGGGCAGTAGAGTCATTTTCACAATGTTGATTCTTCCAATCCAAGAACATGGTATATCTCTCCATCTATTTGTATCATCTTTAATTTCTTTCATCAGTGTCTTACAATTTTCTGCATACAGGTCTTTTGTCTCCTTAGGTAGGTTTATTCCTAGATATTTTATTCTTTTTGTTGCAATGGTTAATGGGAGTGTTTTCTTGATTTCACTTTCAGATTTTTCAGCATTAGTGTATAGGAATGCCAGAGATTTCTGTACATTAATTTTGTATCCTGCTACTTTACCAAATTCATTGATTAGCTCTAGTAGTTTTCTGTTAGCATCTTTAGGATTCTCTATGTATAGTATCATGACCTCTGCAAAGAGTGACAGCTTTACTTCTTCTTTTCCGATTTGGATTCCTTTTCTTCTCTGATTGCTGTGGCTAAAACTTCCAAAACTATGTTGAGTAAGAGTGGTGAGAGTGGGCAACCTTGTCTTGTTCCTGATCTTACTGGAAATGCTTTCAGTATTTCACCATTGAAGACGAAATTGGCTGTGGGTTTGTCATATATGGCCTATATGTTGAGGAAAGTTCCCTCTATGCCTACTTTCTGCAGAGTTTTTATCATAAATGGGTGTTGAATTTTTCAAAAGCTTTCTCTGCATCCATTGACATGATCATACGGTTTTTCTCCAAGTTGTTCATATGGTGTGTCACGTTGATTGATTTGCGTATATTGAAGAATCCTTGCATTCCTGGAATAAACCCCATTGATCATGGTGTATGATCCTTTTAATGTGCTGTTGGATTCTGTTTGCTAGTATTTTGTTGAGGATTTTTGCATCTATGTTCATCAGTGATATTGACCTGTAGTTTTCTTTCTTTTTGACATCTTTGTCTGGTTTTGGTATCAGGGTGATGGTGGCCACGTAGAAGAAGCTTGGGAGTGTTCCTCCCTCTGCTATATTTTGGAAGAGTTCGAGAAGGATAGGTGTTAGCTCTTCTCTAAATGTGTGATAGAATTCGCCTGTGAAGCCATCTGGTCCTGAGCTTTTGTTTGTTGGAAGATTTTTAATCACAGTTTCAATTTCAGTGCTTGTGATTGGTCTGTTCATATTTTCTATTTCTTCCTGATCCAGTCTTTGCAAGTTGTGCATTTCTAAACATTTGTCCATTTCTTCCAGGTTGTCCATTTTATTGGCATAGAGTTGCTTGTAGTAATCTCTCATGATCTTTTGTATGTCTGCAGTGTAAGTTGTTATTCTCCTTTTTCATTTCTAATTCTATTGATTTGAGTCTTCTCCCTTTTCTTCTTGATGAGTCTAGCTAATGGTTTATCACTTTTATTTATCTTCTCAAAGAACAAGCTTTTAGTTTTATTGATCTTTGCTATCGTTTCTTTCATTTCTTTTTCATTTATTTCTGATCTGAACTTTATGATTTCTTTCCTTCTGCTAACTTTGGGATTTTTTGTTCTTCTTTCTCTAATTCCTTTAGGTGGAAGTTTAGGTTGTTTATTCGAGATGTTTCCTGTTTCTTAAGGTAAGATTATATTGCTATAAACTTCCCTCTTAGAACTGCTTTTGCTGCATCCCATAGGTTTTGGGTCATCGTGTCTCCACTGTCACTTGTTTCTAGGTATTTTTTATTTCCTCTTTGATTTCTTCAGTGATCACTTTGTTATTAAGTATTGTATTGTTTAGCCTCCATGTGTTTGTATTTTTTACAGATCTCTTCCTGTAATTGATATCTTGTCTCATAGCTTTGTGGTCAGAAAAGATACTTGATAAAATTTCAACTTTTTTTCAATTTTCATATCTTGATTTGTGACCCAAGATATGATCTGTCCTGCAGAATGTTCCATGAGCACTTGAGAAAAATGTGTATTCTGTTGTTTTTGGGTGGAATGTCCTATAAATATCAATTAAGTCCATCTTGTTTAATGTATCATTTAAAGCTTGTGTTTCCTTATTTATTTTCATTTTGCACGATCTGTCCATTGGTGAAAGTGAGGTGTTAAAGTCCCCTACTATGAATGTGTTACTGTCGATTTCCCCTTTTATGGCTGTTAGTATTTGCCTTTTGTATTGAGGTTTTCCTATGTTTGGTGCATAAATATTTGCAATTGTTATACCTTCCTCTTCGTTTCATCCCTTGATCATTATGTAGTGTCCTTCTTTGTCTCTTTTAATAGTCCTTATTTTAAAGTCTATTTTGTCTGATATGAGAATTGCTACTCCAGCTTT